AATCAAAGATGAGGCATTTTTGTTTCTTGTTGCTTTGGAATGATTTTTGAGAGAGAAGCGGGTAAATGTCCTCTTTCTCACACCTCTTTAAAACATTAAACCCCTTCCTATTGCTTTTGATTCTTTAACTAAAGATGTGTTTTGTGGGAAAAGTTCACCGATTAGCTGGGAAGTAGCAATGCTAACGACAGCTGGTGTCGTTCAAGGAATGATGGCACAGGATTTTCAGAGCTTCTAACATTTTTTTCCCCTCCACTTACCCTTGAGTTCTTTCACCTACCATCCACAGTCACTTCTATTTTTACCATACTTTTTTTTTTTTTTTTTTTTTGCTTTGTTTTTTCTTACTTTTCTGGCTTTTAGTTGGATTGGATTGACCTTTACTTGATAAAGTTTTCTCTTATTTCTTTAATTCTTTTTATTCTTTTAATGAATATCCCTAAAATTTTAATCTATATTTACTTTCATATTTTTGTAACAAACTCGAAACATACTCACCATCACCGTCTTCTCCTTCTTTTGTTTTTGGACAAAGTGTCACCCTATCACCTAGGCTGGAGTACAGTGGTATCATCACAGCTCACTGCAGCCTCCACCTCCTGGGCTTGAGTCAGCCTCCCACCTCAGCCTCCCGAGTAGCTAGGACCACAGGCAAGTCCCACCACATCTGACTATTATTATTATTATTTTATAGAAATGGCTTTCCCTAAGCTGTCCAGGCTTGCCTCCTGGGTTTAAGGGATCCTCTTGCCTTGGCCTCCCAAAGTGCTAGGATTACAGCTGTGAGCCACTGCACTTGGCCTTGGTTTGTTTGTGTTTTTAAAGAGATAGGGTCTTTCTATGTCTCTTCATAACACTTAAAGCTCACATGTGCTTATATGTAGGGCGACAAGAGTTTGACTAGGTGTGGTATCAATTTATGGAGATTTTCTGGGCATAGTAGGCTCACTTTTACTCTCAATGGTGTTCTGGTTTGAAGAATAAGTTATTTGTCACCCTACTTAAATATTATATTGCCTGACATTATTTTACATCATTGCTTGTCTCCCTCATTAGAACATAAGTTCCATGAGGATAAGACATTTTCTATTTGTCCATGACTCCCAAAGCCTACACCATTTACTGGCACACATTTTCCACTCTATAAATATTTGCTGAATGGAATGAATGAAGAGAATAACACATGCCCCTTAGCAATTTTGAATTATTCCCTGAATTTCTCACACCCGTGTTATTATCTAAAATTTTAATGCCCTTTGTAAACACGAAAAATGAGTTGTAGTTGTTACTGTTTACATTCTAGGGTTGATTTTATTTCACGTTTCTATGGTTTCTGTGATTTCTTAAATCCAGGCACTCATTTTGTTTGCATTTTTCCTTGCTGAAATGTGCCCCACAGCAGATGCTTCAGTGAAGCTTTGGGGTAGTAACCTCTGGTACTTTTCGTATGTCTGAAAATCTCTCTCTCCCCTTCCATGCGAATGATATTTCAAGTGGGTATAATGGTCTCAATTTACTGCTTTCCTTCCACAATTTAAAGACGTTACTATTTTCTAACATACATTGTTGCTGAAGACAAATCTGCTTTCTGGATAACTGTCATTTCATTGTAAGTGATGTGTCCTTTCTCTCTTTCTCTTTCTTTCTTGTGTTCTCTTTCTCTTCTTTCTCTCTTTCTCTTTCTCTCTCTCTCTCTTTCTTTTGTTCTCTTTCTCTTTTCTCTCTCTTTCTCTCTCTCTCCCTCTCTCTCTCTCTTTCTTTCTTTCTCTTTCCTTGCTTTCTTGAGACGGAATCTTGCTCAGTCACCCAGGCTGGAGTGCAATGGCATGATCTCAGCTCACTGCAACCTCCACCCGCAAGGTTCAAGAGACTCTCCCGTGTCAGCCTCCCGGGTAGCTGGGTTTACAAGCGCCCACTACCACATCCGGCTAACTTTTGTGTTCTAAGTAGGGACAAGGTTTCACCATGTTGGCCAGGCTGGTTTTGAATTCCTGACCTCAGGTGATCTGCCCACCTCCGCCTCCCGAAGTGCTGGGATTATAGGTATGAGCTACTGTACCCAGCCAAAGTGACTTTTCGAGAAGTTTTCAAATTTTCTCGTTACATAGCTGGAGATTCATTTTGACCTTTCTTGGTGCAAATGTATTGCTATTTATCTGCCTGGCACTTGATAGGTGTTAAACGGAGGATATGTCTTTAACTTTAGAAAATTCTCAGCTATTTTTTTCTCTTCAAGCCATTATTTGGCTTTTCTACTATTTCCTTTAGTTTTTCCATATGGAATGCCTCTTTAACCAGAGTCTCTCAGTTTATCCTGTATCTCTTTTAACTTCTCTTACACATTTACAGTTTCTTACACATTTAGAAGTTTCTTACACAACTTCTCTTACACATTTTCTCTCTCTGCTGCATGATCTCACTAAATGGCTTGGCGCTACCTTCCAAATCACTTGTTGCTTAATTTGTGCCCATCTAGAATTCATTTAGTTTATAATATTTTTCTGTCTCAATGATTATATATTTCAAGTTCCTTTGCAGATTCTAAATATAGTTATTTGTTTGCCCTGTAATTTGCATTTTTAAATTATTTATTTATTTATTTATTTTTATTTATTTTTTTCGAGGCAGAGTCTTGCTCTGTTGCCAGGCTGGAGTGCAGTGGTGTGATCTTGGCTCACTGCAACCTCCGCCTCCCGGGTTCAAGCGATTCTCTTGCCTCAGCCTCCCGAGTAGCTGGGACTACAGGTGTATGCCCCCACGCCCAGCTAATGTTTGTATTTTTAGTAGAGATGAGGTTTCACCATGTTAGCCAGGATGGTCTCTATCTCTTGACCTCGTGATCCGCTGAACTTGGCCTCCCAAAGTGCTCGAATTACCGGCGTCAGCCACCATGCCCGGCCTGTTATTTATAGGTGAATTCATCTTGCTGTTTATTGAGTTGCTTTATTCTTTCTCCTGAATAATTTTCCTCGCATGCTTTGGATGTGTGTTTTGCAGAGGTGTCTTGAGAGGGTGCTCACGGTCTTTTTCTTCTCCTCGCTTTCTGTATCTGGTCATTTTCCATCCTGTCCACCATTCCGAGTCCAGAACCTGGCTTTCTTGGTGGCACTGGGTTCCTGCATGTCAGTGACATTGGAGACACGGCAGGTGCAGACGTGGCCCAGAAGGTAGCTGGCCCAGTGTGGTTTGCTTCCTCCCGCTGCCCTGTGTATGGCGGGCTAATGTTTGCCACATCGCGTGGCATCCTCTACAGCTGTTCCCAGTGCATCCTCACAGGTGGGATCCTGGGTTGGTTGCCCTCTACACATGAGGCATGATCCATTTTTCTGTATTCCACAGAGATTCCTGCTGTTCATGTACTCTCTTGCACCCCGCATCTGTACTTTTGAAAAAATATTGTCTTATTTCTCTACTTGGAAACAAAGGAAAAAAATCCAAATTCTTAACTCACAGCACAAGGTTTCTTGAATGACAGAAAAGTCTTCCAAGTATAGAGCTACTGGAATGTCTTCATTATAATTCATCTATACTGAACCTCCCTTTCTGCTTCCTTCCTTGACACTACTCTGAAGTTTTTACCACTACCCTTTTCCAGCAAACAAGGGACTTCATTCCATTTTTCAACCTGCTTGTATCCTGAAGCATCTGGCGTAGTTAACACTCCTCACTTGACTTCATCAGTAAATATGTAGTGAGTCTCTGTTACATGCTAGGAGCCAGGGGAGAGCCGTATCAAGAGATGTCTTGGAACAAGTGCCTTCTCAACTCAGATGCAATTATTAGTAAATCAGTCAAATGTTGAGAATGTTTCAAGGTGAGGGAAAACATGTGGAAAGACATACAGTTGAGAGAAAATTAGCCTAGTGGGATTTTGGTTTGGCTGGAGGCTGGAATTCAAGGTAGGTTAAGTCAAGAGACTATACTCAGAGGGTAAGGAGGCACCACTCAAGACTCTGTCAGCTACATGAAAGTTTTAGATAATATCTTGAGGCCACATATCTTAGTCTATGTGGCTACTAAAATGCTTTAAGTAGGAAATTCAGACGAGCAGATTTGTGTTTCAGAAAAAGTTGGATTCAAATTTTAAAATTATGTTGCAGAGCAAATCTTGGAAGATGAGAACAATGAGTAGGTTAATAAAGGAATTAATGAGCGTTCTGAACTACGACTTTAACAGAAAAGGCAGACAAATGTGTGCGTTTATGATAGTAACACGTCAAAAGATGAACTTGGGTTTCTGAATGAGTAGTGGCTTTGTTCACTGAGACAGATCACACACGAGAATGAGCAGGTATGGAGGGAAAAGATGACAAGCTGAGTTTGAATTTACACATGATGAATTTTAAGGCATCGTGAGGCATCCAATTGAAAATGACCAGAAGGTCTTTGGGAGCTCAGGAAAGACAGTCTAGTTCAAGATATAACTGTTTTATCAGGACTTCTTACTTAGGTATCATTGATGGGTTTTAAGTTCGTGTGTGTGTGTGTGTGTGTGTGTGTGTGAGAGAGAGAGAGAGAGAGAGAGAGAGAGAGAGAGAGAGAGAGAGTCTTGCTCTGTGGCCCAGGCTGGAGTGCAGTGGCGTGATCTCGGCTCACTGCAACCTCTGCCTCCCGGTTCAAGTGATTCTTCTGTCTCAGCCTCCCTCCCGAGTAGCTGGGACCACAGGCACACGCCACCCTGCCCAGCTAATTTTTGTATTTTTAGCAGAGACAGGATTTCACCATGTTGACCAGGCTGGTCTTGAACTCCTGACTTTGTGTGATCCGCGTGCCTGGCTTCCCAAAGTGCTAGGATTATAGGCGTGAGCCCCAACATCTGGCTGGCTTTAAATTCTTAAGTCCCTGAAACGGTATGCACATTTTGTGTGTGTGTGCAGGTCAATATGCAGAGTGCCTAAGTTATTTTCCCTCCCTTCCTTATCGCCCACCCCATGTTAAATACGACAACTGTATTTCGCAAGTATCTTTATGCCATATGCACAAAAAGGATACACATTCTTTTATTATTCATTTTATTTTCATATAAATTAACATCCTAGAAAAATTGAAATAGAAACACTAAATACAGTATTGCACATAGCGATCTTTGTTAAATGCCCTATTATTTCATTGGAGAATGGTAATATACACACTGGAAGGACTGAAGGGGGCAGGAATACTACAAAACAATGGGAAAAAAACCACGACTGTTTCTTTGCACTTAAACTACAAACTAAAAAGTCAGAGACCGTACTTTACATAAATACAAACAGTTATGATTTAGAACATTGTTTTTCTTAAGTTGCTTTCCATAACTGGTTTGCAAGAGCAATAAATTCTCCCCTTTATCCACAACTATAACTTGTAACAAAGATCATTAAAAGCAATTAAAAAAAAAAAACCCAGCTCTCGTGTTAGACAAAACCATCACAATGCATTAGGAGCTGACTTATTCAGGCATGTTAACTCAGCAGGTTCTGGGCAGATGGCAATCCCTCCAAAATTTTTATTTCATTTTTGGCTGATAGTCACATTTGGCAATTTTATAAGCATCATTTATTTCAATTCCTTCAAAATATTGAGCGATTTTTCTTTTTTGGTGAAGTGTCATGAAAAAGTTTGAGAGAGGCACGTTTTTCGTTTAACTTACCTCTGCTGCAGACTAGCTTTTCAAGGGGTCCCAGAGGACCTGTCCTGATAAAGCCGTCTATAAATTTACAACTGATTTTTGCCAACATTAAATCATTTACAGGAAAAGAGTTTTTCTTTTGCTGTATCTTTTCTGAATTTATTATATGACTTGAGTAAAAAAATGACAATCTTCTTTCACAAATACATAGTTATGGAGAGCAACCCAACAGTTGGGAATGCACTGATTATAAATGGTAAATTTTAAAGTAGAAAATTTCTACGTAGACATGAAACTGATACAAACAATTCACTAGAATTGACATTTTTACCCATATGTCTAGATGTTGTGATGTGGAGGACTGGTTGTCAGTAGAAAGTAGAGTGTTTTTGCTGTGACAAGGAATATTCTCACAACGGTGAATTTTAGTTAATGTTTAGCATGTTCAGAATTAGTGCAGATACTGCCTCTTACACATGCTGTTTTGGTCTATCTGTGTAATACCATAAACTTTTACAAAAAGAAAATGTGTCAAATTCTCCACTGGTCTAGTACTTTTGCATTTTTATATGAATATACAATAAAATTCAACAATTAGTGAACTGTCTAGAAAACGAAAAGATTATGCAAGAGGTCAAGAAGAAAAATGATCAGAATGACAGTAGACTCCTTCCCACCCTCAGGTCAGCTGAGTTTTGTGAAAGTCGTTGCAATGATTCATTTTCATTCTGCTTTTCATTGTTCAAGTTTTCATGCTTATCTTTGCTTTCTGAAAAAAAACCACACCAGATAAAAGTTATAGTTAGAAAGAACTTTTAAAAATGGGAGGAGTTTAGAGGAGCCTGAGAAAGACCTTTTCATCGAGATCAAATTTTGTGGGACAAGGTTAAAGGTCTACCAATCCATAAAGGAAAAAAATACTAGTGGGATCTGTGTTATCTTTGAGCACTTTTATCAAGACAAATGGCCACATACTTTAAAGAAAAAAAAGAAAAAAAGTTTCAAAAATGTAACTTCTAACCAATCTGAGAGAGTGTCAACTCCTCATTCTCATCCTCAATCCTACATGCAAATACATAAATATGAAAACTGAAGTGGCTGTTTCATTTCATAAATGTACTCTAATCATCTTCTGTACTTCTAATAGCACGATTGAGGTTAACTAATAAGTAATTGTTCCTCCACAGTCAATACAGTCATAGCATTGAATAATCAGACAGAAGCAGAAAATAAGCTGAACTATCATGTAGGAGTTGTCATTAGATAAGATCATTTTGAAACAGAGAAACGGAAGGGAACATTGCTTCTAAATGAAGATATAATTCCTAACTTTAAAAAAATAGGGATGTTTAATCATATTCCAATTTGGGTTATTTTAACGTCTTTTCCATTTAGACCACATTAGACTAATTTACTTTAGAATGATCCTATTTTATGGCCAAACTCAACTTTTCATTTAAAACAGCACCATTTACTTACACTGTGGTATCAAGTGACGGTTCCTCAAAACAGTCAACAAAACATCCTCAGTATCACAAGAAAAAGCCTTGGCATTTTAACCAAGCCCTGCCCTCCCAGGGTGGACAACCTGGCATTTTGTTTTAAAGGGGGGAGTGGTCAAGCAGGAAACTTAGATGAGCTTTTTAAACTCAGTCTCTGGACTGACCGCTGTCCAGCAGCCAACTCTGCTGAGCCATCTGTGGATATAAACCAGGTCTGAGCACCCTGGGCAAAGTGTCACACTGCTGCTGGTATTTCCCACCAAGCTGCAGATCCCAATGGAGCTAATCCAATTATAATGATCACTCTCGGCTCAAATACAGCCTGTTCGTGACCCGTATGTAACAAAGAAAGTGAAAGATGGTCTCCCCACCCTGCCCCTGTTGACATGCACATATCCATATAAATTCACACCCTCAGTACATTTATCTTAATTCTTATGTTTTGAATAATGAATATTAATGCTCTTTTCGTCTTCTGGGCCTGATTAAAGGCGTAAGAAAAAGGAGATTCGTGAATTCAGAAGCTCCTTATTTATCAAAAATTTAGAAAAGTAATTAAAATATTATGAGTTGGTATATATTATGAAAATAGGATTTAAAAGCCAAAGAAAATTGCAAGATAAAAATCGGTAAAGTGAAATACTTACAATTCCAGAGTCATGTCTTGGTTTTATTTTATAAAGTGATTTTCCCTTCTTCTGCCTACACACCTCTTCAGCTTCTTTCACTCTGATGGGGGAGAAGACACATATATTTAAACAAAACCTTCTTAGATCACCTCATTCTACCTTATAGTAAGTGAGCAGACCTCAACTCAATAAAGATTTGAATGGCTGCAGAAAATAAGACAATACACAGAAGAATGTTATCTGACATGTGAATTGAAAGCCTAAACTGTTACAGCTACAGAGGCTAATTTATCTGTGAGTTCCTAACTTGGAATAATAGTACGATAGAACGGAGTAATATCAAACACTTAAGAATTTCTATGCAGAGTGTGTATGCACTTCATTTTATATAAAAGGAATCTTATATACAAGTAAATAATGAAATACCCCTCACTGTCAACTGAAAGGGGAATGTGTGCATGTGTGTGTATGTGTATATATACGTATCTAGGACTAGTACTTAGTTTCACACCAGGAGCTGGGAGAAAAAAAAACCTGTACAGTTGTCTCTTATTTTTAATAAAATAGAAAAGTCACACACTTGCGACTGATTGATTCTATTACATAATTGATTGATTCTATTACATAAATAGAATTGACACCATCACATAAGTTAGAGGCATCAGAATAATTAAAGAGTATGACAGCCAGGTGCGGTGGCTCATGCTGTAATCCCAGCACTTTGGGACAGCAAAGAGGGTAGATTGCTTGAGCCCTGGAATTTGAGACCAGCATGGGTAACCGAGTGAGACTCTCTCTCCCCCAAAAAATACAACAAATTAGCCAGGCAGGGAGGTACATGCCTTGCAGTGAGCTGTGATCAGCGCCACTGCACTGTAGCCTGAGCAACAAACAGTGAGACCCCCTCCACGCCCACCCCCCACCGAAAGAAAAGGATCACATAAAAAATTACATGCCTACTGAAAATTATTTCAGATACACTTCCTATACCACACAAATGCATGCATAAAAATCACTTGCAATAAATATTTGAGCAATTTCTAAAATTTGAGCCTCATCTAGCGATCGTTTAATTGTTAACAAAAAAGACTGAGCAGTAATAACATTTTAACTTTTCTAGTATTCCTGATTAAGCATACATGACAAAACAACATTGTACTGACCAGCGATGTAGTTAAAACAAGATGCTAGTACAGCCACCATGGTGAAACCTTGTTTCTGCTAAACATACAAAAAAATCAGCTGGGCCTACTGGCATGACCTGTAATCCCAACCACTTGGGAAGTTGAGGCAGGGGAACTGATTGAACCAGGGAAGTGGAGGTTGCAGCGAGCTGAGATTGCACCATCGTACCCCAACCTAGTGACAGAGTGAGACTCCATCTCAAAAAAAAAAAACCAAAAAAAAACCAGGGTGCTATTTGGAGAGAAGTCCTGTATTAAGTTCTGGCTCTGCTATTTGACATTGGTAATGCTCTTGTACCCCTGAACTTCAGTATTCCTTCAAAGAATGAAAGGCTCCACTATATATTAAATTATCATCATTATCGCTGCAAAGACTGAGTAAAAGCTGCAAAGACTGAGTAAAATGTTATCTAAAAAGTTCTTCATACATTATAAAAGGCTACAAAAAGTTATTATTGTTTTAATTAAACAAATAGTAACAAATCTGTAAACTGGCTTTTTTTTTAAATAAAAAGGGAGCTATGACAAAAATAATCTATCAGGTAAATTTATTTTTTATTACTGTGGTTTTTCCTTGTGAATTAAAGATGAATTATTTCTGGAGAAACTAAAAAGGCTATGGCTTGGTCTTAATAAAATGCATTTCATATAGACCTTACGGCCTAATTTCCTGAAAGAAGTGAATTATAAATATATTTCTTGATCCCTACAGCAAAAGATCTAATGACAGAATTCATCTCCTTTACAACTGTATCAATTCCTCTTTTTTTTTTTTTTTTTTTTTTTGTAGAGACGAGGTTTCACCATGTTGACCAGATGGTCTCAATCTCTTGACCTGGTGATCCACCCTCCTCTGCCTCCCAAAGTGCTGGGATTATAGGCGTGAGCCACCACACCCAGCCTCAATTCCTCTTTTTAAAAAATAGAATGAAACAAACAACTCAGTATTGCAGCTATAAGACTGACGGTATAGTTTATATTGAAGTATGACAAATGAAAGTAATTCCTTTCAGACATAAAATGCCTGGGTTGCTATTGTTAGTAATTCCAGAAAACAAGGACAACTTAGAAGATACTTCATTATTTTATTACTTTCATCCAAGCCATAAATTGCCTTTAATCCTTCCTCTAAACATTTGAAGATAAAAACATTTTCTTTATAACAAACTAAGGATTGCAGCATCCCCATCTTCCTCTGAAACAGCTACCAGTAAATTTAACTTGAAGTATTTGGATAGGGAATTAAGGAAACTTTTTTTTTCAGCACTTAGCCAAAATCCAGTAGATCTCCTCTTAAATTTACTTGGAGCTTTTTAAAGCATTTTGCGGCTTTCAAATAAAATGTACTTTACAAGTATTTAGATCCTCAAAGCATCTTCATTTTCCCCAATCCTATTTATTTTGTTCTCAAAACACATTTTTGTAAGGATCACAGGAAGCCAAGTCTAATACAAACATCTTTAATTTTACACAAAAGCATCCAGTCATTCCTCATGGCAGAGACCACAAAAACAGAGGAGAATGTGCATTAGAGGCCTCACGAGATCTTTCAGCTCGTCCATTCATTTTATAATCAGTTCTGAAGCATTAACTCTAGGTTCAGCACTAGGCACAGCTCAACATCATAGGGCCAATGAGATTGTGTCGACTAGAAGAGACACACTCATGAGCAAATAAATGACAATGTTGCATTAAGAGCAACCACCTAGGTTCGTAGAAGGTACAATTGTGTCCCAGAGGAGGATCCTGGGTGGGTGGGTAGGCAAGGGTTATGGAGATCTTTCTGGATCAAGCTGACTGCCAAGTCCTGTTTAACAGACACATCCATATATATATGTATACACACACACACACACACACACACCCTTATGTAAAAATAAATAAAATACAAATAAAAAAAATATATATATATATAAAATAAACTTTAAGTTCTGGGGTATATGTGCAGAATGTGCCGGTTTGTTACATAGGTATACACATGCCATGGTGGTTGGCTGCATCCATCACCCCATCATCTATATTAAGTATTTCTCCTAATGCTATCCCTCCCCTAGCCCCCACCTCCTGACAGGCCCCAGCGCATGATGTTCCCCTCCCAGTGTCCATGTGTTCTCATTGTTCAACACCTACTTACGAGTGAGAACATGCGGTGTTTGGTTTTCTGTTATTGTGTTAGTTTGCTGAGAATGATGGTTTCCAGCTTCATCCATGTCCTTGCAAAAGACAGGAACTCATCCCTTTTTAGGGCTGAATAGCATTCCATGGTGTACATGTGCCACATTTTCTTTATCCAGTCTATCGTTGATGTGCATCTGCATTGGTGCCAAGTCTTTGCTATTGTAAACAGTGCCGCCATAACATACGTGTGCATGTATCTTTATAATAGAATGATTTATAATCCTTTGGGTTATATAATCCAATACCCAGTAATGGGATTAATGGATCAAATGGTATTTCTAGTTCTGGATCCTTGAGGAATCGCCACACTGTCTTTCACAATGGCTGAACTAATTTACACTCCCATCAACAGTGTAAAAGTGTTCCTATTTCTCCACATCCTCTCCAGCATCTCTTGTTTCCTGACTTTTTAATGGTTGCTATTCTAACTGGTGTGAGATGGTATCTAATTGCGGTTGATTTGCACTTCTCTAATGACAAGTAATGAGCTTTTAAAAATGTTTGTTGGATGCATTAATGTCTTGTTTTGAGAAGTATAACGGACACATCTTAATCGTTTATACTTCTCTTGGAAAAGGAAAATGGATTGAACAGGAAAGGATAACATATAAAGATTGAGCAAGAGTCATGAAACACCATACTGGGCTTCAAGAACTAGGAAGTTCTCCCTCTGCTGCCGTAGGATTCCTGTTTTGGAGGGCAAAGTTCTAACTGGCTTCCAGGTTTATGCCTCAGTTTCTCATGTGTCTGATTAGGATGAGTCAGTCACCTCCCCTTAAGCGCCTCTGGTTATGCACACACATGAATGACCTGGGCAGCTAGAAAACTGAGCCCAAAACCTTGAATATTGTTCCTCTTCTCATTTCAAAGCAGGAGATTCATAGAGAATTTGTTAAAACGCAGCTCTCTAGTCTAATTCCTAAGCATTCTGATTTAGTCACTCTGGGATGCTTTCAGAAGCACGCTGGGCAGAATCTGGTGTAAGGGGCCTGTGAGGATCACGCCGAGAAACAGTACCCCGAAACTGAGGCATTAACATTCCCTGAAGCCTCAGCGGTGCTGTCAAAAGACCCCCAAAACGACGACACTTCCTCAGTCCCCACTAATTTACCAGATCACAAACCCAAACCACATAAACGTGCTCCCTTTACAAGTCTCAGCCCTCCTAAACTTCCTAGCAAATGCTGCCACTTCCAAAAGCCAGTTTTATTTCAACAAAACTCTGACAACAAGATATTTTTCCACACTTTAGGCAGGAAAAAAGAATGCATCCCTCAAGGTCGAATGTGTTGCCAGAGTTGGCAGAAAAGAAAATAATGAAGGAGAAGTTGGTATGAAGGCGGCCTGAGCCAGCTGCCAATATTCGAATCTTCCCACTTGGGCTCTGCATTCGGTTTATGGTCGCAGATTTCCTCAGCTGCCACTCTGAGTCTATTGAGTAACTGCCTGTACGTGTTCCATCCTCCTTCTCTCCTGCCTTACGCCTCATTCAATGCTGCCTAACATTTCTTAAGCTAAGTAGAAGAAAGATGTTCATGTCACAACTAGACCACAAAGGCTTTAAGTGAAAAGGCATGGTGGAAGATAACATTTCAAACAGTAAATTAAAACGACCAATGTGTCCTGTTTGGGAAGGAAGAGAAAGTAAAAAGAGGGACAATACCTCATTTATAAAGTGAAAAAGCAATCACCATGAAGAGGGAGTGTATACTCAGAGAGGAAGCCAGAGCTGGGCTGA